TGTCCTGCTGGTAGTTACTGTAGATGCGCAGGTACTGCTCAAGCATCTGGTTCATCCGTTCAGTCTGACCGTCTCCTTCCGGATGATAACCGGAGGTGAAGTGGAGGCGGATGTCGAGGGCCTTACCAAGTGAACGGAAAAAATGGGAGACAAACTCCGGACCCCTGTCGGAGGTGACGTGGGATGGAACTCCGTGCTTGGAGAACACATGGAGGAGGAAGAGCTTGGCCAGTTCCGGAGAGGTGATGGTATCGTGGGTAGGGATGAAAATGCACTGTTTGGACAGGCGGTCCATGACGACCAAGATGGAAGTGAATCCAGAAGAGGAGGGTAGCTGTTCGATGAAATCCATGGAGATGGAGTTCCAAGGACATTCGGGGATGGGGAGTTGTTTGAGTAAGCCGTAAGGCTTATGACGGGGGACCTTGGCACGGGCACACGAAGTGCAGGAGGATACGTAACTCTTGACGAAGTTACGGATGCCCGGCCAGGTATACTCACGACGTACTAGATCCAGAGTCCGGTTTTGCCCGAAATGTCCGGAAAGTTGGTGGTCGTGTTTGTCTCGCAAAACGCGGAGATGGAGATTGTTAGAATCTGGCATGTAAATGCGATTGTCCAGCCTTAAGAGGCCTTCGGCATCAACGGACCAGCGAGAATTGGGGAGGTTGGGGGAAGCGAGATGAGAAGAGATTGTGGTGTCGGAGGAGAGGGAGGTTAGGATGTCTCGATGAAGAGCCTCTGTGTCGACGAGTACGGCTGCTCGGATTACTGTGGCAGCTAGGAACGTAGCTCGAAGGACGCAGTGAGCTGCTCCGAAGTGAAGACCGGTCGGAAGTTCTGTGGATTGACGTGAGCGTAGTCCATATCCCCTTCTTTGGGGTAGACATCCCAGCATCTAGTCAACGCATCTGGTTTAACTCCGAGTCTTCCGGGACGGAATCGGACAGTCATGTGGAATTGGGAGAGGAACTCTGACCAGCAGGCTTGCCACCGGGTCAAGAGTTTGGTGGTGGAGAAATACTCGAGGTTCTTGTGGTCGGTGACGACGTTGATTGGGGTTCCTGAACCTTCGAGGTAATGACGCCATGATCGGAACGCATCATGAATGGTGAGCAGTTCCTTGTCATGGGTGTCGTAATTGAGCTCCGGCGCCGAGAGTGTTCTAGAGCGGAAAGTGACAGGGCGAATCTCTCCATCATCACAGCGGATGGAAAGGATTCCGGAGATCGCGTAATCGGAGGCGTCAGTTTCTACAATGAGGGGGGCATCGGGTAGCCAATGTGTGAGGATAGGAGCGGAAGTGAAGGCTTCGTTCAAGGTGTTGAAAGCAGAGCGACAATCGTCAGAGAATAGCCAGGGGGCTCCTTTACGTGTGAGGCGCGTCAAGGGGACCACAATGTCGGAGTATTGGTGGATGAAACGCCGATAGAAGTTAGCGAAGCCAAGGAAGGATTGGACATCCTTGACTTTACGGGGCTCGGGCCAATCTTGGACGGCTTTGACCTTCTCGATGGACATGGTGAGTCCGGAAGGAGAGAGGCAGTAACCGAGATATTCCATAGTGTCCGTATGAAACTCGCATTTCTTCGGATTGGCATATAGGCCGTGTTTGTGGAGTCTCCTAAGAACTTCTCGGACATGCTCCTGATGTGAAGCCATGTCTTCCGAGTAGGTAAGGATGTCGTCTAGATAGACTACCACAGAAACGTCCAAGAGGTCGGCAAAGATCGTGTTGACGAATCGCTGGAAAGCCGCAGGTGCATTTGTGAGACCGAATGGCATGACAAGCCACTCATAGGAACCATAGCGCATGCGGAAAGAGGTCTTCCATTCGTCGCCTGCTGCAATGCGAACCAGGTGGTAAGCATGCCGGAGGTCGAGTCTGGTATAGACCGTGGCACGGCTAGGTGCGTCAAGGAGGTCGGAGATGCGGGGAAGTGGGTAGCGATCCTTTTTGGTGATCTTGTTCAGCCCTCGGAAGTCGACGCAAAGATGGAGGGATCCGTCCTTCTTGCGGATGAAGAGGACCGGTGCCACGTGAGCGGAAGTAGCGGGGCGAATGAACCCAGAGGCCAGGTGTTCATCTAAGAACGCCCGGAGGGCCTCAAGTTCCGAAGTAGAGAGAGAGTACATAGTACCCAAGGGTGGGGAAGTGCCTTCCTCAAGGTCGATCTTTAGGTCGTGCTCACGGTGCGGTGCCAGCGTCGAGGCTTTGCTCTTACTGAACACATCCGCGAACTCGTGATACTCTTTCGGAATGGCCGAGAGGTCGACGGAATCGGTGTGGGATGAGGCAGCCCTCAAGCGGCTTTCCTCGGAAGGGATGGTTAGGCTGAAGGATACCGATCCTTCGAGTTGGCAAGCCTTCGCAAATGCGGAACGGCTGACGAACTCGATAGATGGTAACGGAGGAGTAACAGCCTGTGACTGAGGTGCTGGCGAAACATCAGATGGTTGGATGTTGGACGACAGCAGTGGTGCCGGAGACGACGGGGGAGAGCTCGGAGTAACTGTCTTGGTAGGTTCGGAAGTTCGGAACGTAATACTGCTTGAGACCCAGTCAATCAACGGATTGTAGCGGGTAAGCCAGTTGTGTCCTAGGACTAGGGAACATGATCCATCCAGCGATGTGACAAAGAAAGTCGTGGGGGTGATGTTTCCGGAAGCGAAGCGGAGGGGAATATCAACGGCACGGGTTATGATTGAGTTGGTGCTACTGTCGAATAGGCGTAGTTGTAAAGGTTTAATCTGGTATGTCTTCAAGGCCAACTTTTTTACGAATGTGTTGTCGATGAAGCAGTCCGAAGACCCAGAATCTACGAGTGTGGGTACGTTCTCATAGGAGCGGAAAAGTTTATTTTGTGTCCTATTATTGGACGGAGGAGAAATAGGAGGAGAGAAAGAAGAGAAGCGGAGAGAGGTGGATCGATCTACGGAAGTAGTCGGAGGGGGCGGAGGAGAGAGTGGTACATCAGCAACACTATCTACAACGGGTAGAACATTAACCGAAGGGTCAACATTGAGAGGAGAAAATAGACTATTTGAAAGAGAAAAGGAAATGGGAATGTGGAGGGAGGATAAGTCGGAAATGGAAGACGCGTTTAAACACACTTCTTTGAGTGCACAGAAGGAAGGATCGCAACCCCCGGTCCGTGCGGAGTCCACGGGGGTGCGGACTAATTTTTTGCTTCTGCGGAAGTGGATCCTTGCTCCTTGGTCTGGGCCGAACGGGCCTTAGTCGCATGAGAAGAGGACTTGGGACAGTCCTTGACCATGTGGCCAGACTGACCGCAGAACATACAAAGTTTCTCGTTGAGACGACGCTTACGCTCTTGTGGTGTGAGCTTGCCATTGTCTCTGAGTTTAGATGAGAGGTCCGGTTTAGCGGAGCTGGCCTCAGACTTTTTATTGTCCTTCGGAAGCCTACTCCCGGAAGCGGAGTTGAAAGAGGAGGAGGAAGGGATGGGGTCGGAACGAGAAGCAGCGGTGGACTTGTTGAAAATGTGAGAGGAAGAGGGTTTCGCATGACGTGTAACTTCCGATTTATGCTCCCAATAGCGCGCATCGAGAGTTTGGGACAGGGTGCGAAGTTCAGAGAGAGTAGAGGGTTTACCTACTCTGGCAATGTCATCCTTAATACGTTCCGGCAATCCGTTATAGAAAAAACGACGAAGTGCAGCTTCTCCGTAACCGTGAAGTTAGAGGCGTGTCGGTTGAACTCGACGACGTATTTATTGATGTGGTGCCCATCCTTCATGTCCAGGGTCATCAGTTGAACCTCGGCGTCGCCCACAGGATCGTGAGGGCCGAAGTTAGTTTGAAGTTCATTAACGAACTCTTGATAGTCATTCATCCATTGCGGACGAAGCGTGGAATTCTGGTTGAATAACAGATCCGGCTCGAACCAATCGAGGGCCATTCCCTTGAGGTAGGACTGCGCAAATATGACTTTAGCACGGTCGCTAGCAAAAGCAAGGGGACGGTCCTGGAAATTGAGCTCGCATTGGACCAAGAATACTCGGAGTTCTCAGGGATCCTTCCTGTCGAACTGTTTGGGTTCGCAGACCTTGGTCCGGAGGGCAGAAGATGGTCGTCATCGTCGTCGTCCGGTGTGACGAGCCAGACTGGCAATGGCTTGGGCCAATTGTGCAATAGCCACATTGGAGGTGGGTTCGGCATCGTCAGTGGTTGGGACAGTGGGGATGGGAGGATCAGCAGGAGGAGGATTGACGAAGTCAGGGACCTCGGAACCGAGTCCAAAGAAGTGGACAGGGTCTATGGGTTGTTCCGTGGTGTCTCCGAAGTCGGAGTCTGCAGCTGGTGATCGATTCCTAACGGGGCGCATGATCGGAGTCGATGGGAGAGGGGTTTCAAGGTTAGAGAAGCTTCGAAACTCAACTGGGTTTCTCGCCAATCGACTAGGACCAGGCTGAGAGGGTTCTGGGGAAGGTGAGGCAGAGTTGGGGACTAATGTGCGTAGTTGTGAACGAGTGCGAAGGACTTTTGGTGCCATACAAGACGTGTACTAGTCAGGGAGTAATAAAATACTGTCAGAGACCAGATTCGAGACGAGGGAGAGTCTCCATGGCGGAGGGCTTTGGCCTCAGCGACTTATGCCAAGAGCGCTGTGCCTAGTGACACGTCCGTGCCCTAACTTACTGACTGGCAATCAGAACTGAAGGGGGGTAACTCTAGTCGATTTTATTACTGGAGTGTAACCTATGTACAAGTTGGATATATATATGGTTACAGCGAAGACGGGTCCGTGATTAGCGGAGCTGAACGGAGCGGAACTAATGGGGTTAAACATTAGCCGACTGAATATTACCGACGAGTCAGGTCGTGGGGTTAGCGGAAAGGCAGGCAATAACCCAGAAACGGAAAGGAGGGATAGGCCCAAAGGTGGGCTCTGCAGGGCAGGCGAGTGTATTGCCCAGCAGAGGCGGGAGTGCGCTAGCGGACGTCGGAGCTGTCCGGAAGTCTTTGGGGCTCTGTACTTAGGGAGGCATTGGTAATAAATTGAAAGGAGGGGGTGGTGACCATCGAGGGGTACTGAGAGGATTGCGGAATACGGGAGCTCCGAGGTTAGTGAGGAAGGAGTGGAGGTAGACTGGAGGGATCGGAGAGAACGGAAGTCGATGGCCAGGGATGGATATGACAGATGCATAATATACTTCAGGTGGTGGGCGCTCAACAGCAGGGAAGTTGTAAACTTTGCCATTGAATTCAAATGAGTAGCCCTTGTCTGTTACAGAGAAATTTAGGCTGATTGTGTTGTCTATTCAGTTAGAGATGCTGAATACTCACCACTGCCATCAATAGTAGGTGAAAAAAATGCTGGGATGCCCAGGCTTGTAATCCCACATGCAAGTTCATTTGTGATCTCAATAGGAAGGTTGGCTGCTAACAATGCCCAAGTCACTGCAGCAGCTCCCAAAAGCTCCCCATCACTTTTTCTAAGCTCACTCTTGGTATACCTATTGTGGAACTTTGTATGACCCAATTCAATAGTATCAGGAGAATGCTTGTGTCGAGCTCCAGCACTGATTCCAAATGCATATATCTTCCCATGATGAGAGGGCTAGTGCAGCATTTCAGCAGAGAATGAGCAGATACTCAACATACATACATGCAAATTGCGGCGCTCAAGAGCATGCTCATTATTGATTTGCTGAAGACGTTCCAACAATGCCTTGCCAGTTGGTGACAAGTTTGTTGCATTGTGCAGCACAAGAAGCTCTATATCTCCAGTGCCTAGAAATAGATGTTAGTAGAAATTATATAAACATCAATTTCTCATACACTTGTTCAGGACAAGATGTGAATGCTCCCTGTCTAATATTTTCCACCCTTCTTCCTTTTTCCCAATATATGTAACATTGGGGAACCTTGCTGGATCTGGGTGTGGTGGCATGCCTTCTGATTCATCAACAAGCCATGTAGCAGGTTTCTTTTTGATGTGAGGGAATTTGTAATCCAAAGCTGGATCAAATTCAACATAATGGACCTGTAAATCCAGCTCTTGAGCTTGTTGAATCAGGGTCTCCTTATCTATGCACCGCTTCAGGTCCAAATCCTGCACCTAGTGGGGTAGAATGCAATGCAACAGTGTGATTCTCCAGAGTAATAGGCCTTACCACCCACTGTTTCGCCCATCAGCTTGCTTGGACCTCATCTTTGAGTATCTTGACATGCTTCTGAGCAACACATAGATATTGAAATGTCTTGACACCCTTGAGTTTCTCTGGCCCATTGCGAATGACATCATCGATCTGCTGCTGTTCATACAGTCCTGCATTAGGCTTGATCAGGTGCACTGAAGACAAGAATATTACCTTCTCAACCTTGCACTCAGCAGCTAGAAGGATGAGGACTACATCCCAGGCAGCTGTAGCATCATCCCAGTTTGTTGTTTTGAACACTTGGTCGAGGGATGAGGCACATATCTCAATGCAGCTTTGCACTCCAACACAGCAGTATTCGTAAGTACTCTATCCAAGCAGTGTGCCACATACACTTTGTTGCAATATTTCGCACTTTTTTTGGCTTTGGCTCAGAAGACATTGCAGTAGAGAGTTGACAAAGTGATATCATAACACAGCCTCAAGTCACATGACAGCAGCATGAGAACATCAGCCTAACAAGAATGTGGAACTTGGTGCAACCACTTGTTCCACCATGTGGAAAGCCTTATATGCAGCACATAGGCCAACAGACAAGTGACATGCTGCTGTTAAACACACAGTCAGTGTGTTGACCTGACCCAGAATGAGGGCAGAGGGAGAGGGCAGTGTAGGAGAAATAATGGGCACCCTATGAAAACGTGTTGTGAAATTATGCTGTGGAAACACCATTGACACTGTGGAACAGGAAAGGATGAGTAACAAGGAGATGTAGATTTCCTTGGAATTTTTATGACAATTACCAATGAATTTGAACATAGAAAATCAACAAAAATACTTCGAGCTTAGCATCAATAGGATGGAATGTTCAGGAGAATTCACAACGAATAACTAAACAAGAATGGAGTTATTCAGAAAAGATTTGACCAAGTACTCTTTAATGAGTATGAGTGTTGTCATATCCATCTACAGCCATCTTCCTCCACTACTATCACGGCTGTGCATTCCGGCCCATTAGCTGCCCATCCCGATGCCGCCTGAGCCCATTCCCACTACATGAGCGTGAGTGCGAGCCCCGACCTCAGCCCTATCCTCCATGAGGACTCCCTGCTCACTCCCCCACTTGCCCCTAGGCTCCCCTGCACCTGGCTGACTCCCCCCACAGCCACACCAACCTTCCGCCCTGAGTCCGCCTCCACCACCATGCCCAGCACGACTCCTCTACCCTGCCCACTTGGCCCCTACAGGGCCACTACCATCCCCATGCCTGACTCCGGCCCAACTCCAAGTCCAGTGCCGCTACAATACCATCATGTCAGGGATGGCTCGAGGAAGGCAGAGGTAGCAGCGTAGCGCTCAGTGCTAGTGGCCCAGACGGTGGTGGGGCAGTGAGACCGTATAGTGGGCAGCTGTCAGGGCACACCCACCTGACCCGGTACCCCACCATCCACCCTTCCTCACCTCCTCCCCCTTCCCCTTCTACTCTCCTCATTCCCCCTTCCTCACTTTCTTTCTACCTTACTTCTTTATTCTCTCTTTATTCTACACAGATGACCTTCTTTGTATCAATGTACCATTGACCCATCTGCTGCGTGCCCACCATGTACCCGGCCCGGGCACCTTGGGCGACTTCCCGCTCTGCCCAGCATGCATGCATGCACCGGATGGCCTCGGGATCTCCCACGGAGACACCCGGGTGGTTACGGCTGTGTGTGAGGGTGACGTGGCACTTGTCATGTGATCTAAGCCGCATGTATATAAACGAGCCTGAAGTGGGAACTGAAGAAGTAGCCTTCTTCTCAACTTTCCACTTCAGGTAAGTAGTATAGTATTTCTCCTTTAATGATAATAACAACTTTCCACTTCAGTCTAAGTGGCCAGGGACCACTGTCCCACATCGGGCCTGTCAGTACGCACGCCTGATCCGCCCCCCACCAGGCTCTCAGCCCCGGATGCTACACCCGGGCTCCCTCGACCCCAGACGAGTCCCTGACAGCAGCCCTCACTTGGGCTTACATCCCTGTGTGGCTTCTTAGGCTGAAGTGGGAAATGTATTGTTATTAGGGTGGGAAGCTAGACTAAACTAGGGTACTTGCCTGAAGCAGGAAATGAGAAGAAGGTTACTTCTTTGGTCCTGCTTCAGCTTAGTTTATATACATGTGTGAATGGGTCACGTGGAGGTGCCATGTCACCCTTGGACGAAGCCGGGTTACCACGGGTGGCTCTGTGGTCGATCCCGAGTGTTGGAGGGGAAATACAAGTAGGAGTGCGTGGCACGTCCGGCGTTGCGGTGCCCCTACAGGGTGCTCAGCATCGGATGTGTCTGTGCTACAAGTGTAGGAAAGAAAGAGAGGTCGTCTGTATAAAGATAGAAAAAGAGAAGAAGGAAAGAAGAGAGAATGAGAGGATGGGACAAAAGGAAAGGAGGTGGCAGCGGCAGCGGTGGCAGCAGCGTGCCCTGACATCACCCCCCCCTTAAGCCACTTCACCTTGAAGTGGCTAGAGGGTTCCCTCGTTCTCTCCCAGGGGCGTCTGGGTGCACTCTGTGAACTCCTCGATCCGGTTGCATGCATTGGCCAGGTTGTCAAGGGGGAGCCATTCATTCTCGGAGTTTGGCCAGCCTGTGAACTTTACCAAATACCAGAGCTTCCTGTGGCACCAGCGGGAGTCGAGGACCTTCTCAACTTCATACTCTTCCCCCCTGTCTATGATTTCGGGGCCTGGGCGAGGGTCGGTGGGTCGTTCAGCGATCTTGTCTGGGCGGTGGGGTCGGACATTTGTTACTGACACCACTGGGTGGACTCCCTTTTGCCGTGCTGTAAGTTGGAGCTTGACGGTGGTGGGGGATACAACCTTGAGAATTTTAAAGGGGCCTGTCCATTTGTGATCTAGCTTCTTGGTTGGGCGGTCTGTGGTGAAGTTTTGGGTGCTGAGCCAGACTTGGTCACCCTCTTTGTACTCAGGTGCCGCTTCCTGATTCCGGTCATAGTAGTGGGCCATCCTTCGACTTCTGACATGCGCATAGGTTCTGTCCCCATTCTGGGGTGCTGGCCGGTGTTGAGCTCGAAGGGGGTGCGGCAGGTGGATGCGTGGATGCAGTTGTTATGGGAAAACTCCACTCGCGAGAACCAATCTGCCCAGTCGTCTTGGCGGTAGTTGACAAACACTCGGAGGTATGCTTCTATCTCTTGGTTTACCCACTCTGTCTGTCCATCTGTCTGTGGGTGGTAGGGCATCGAGGGGGTCAATTTGACTGCTAGCAGGGCTGCCAGTTCTTTGGAGAGCTGGGAGACGAAGGTGCTCCCTCTGTCACTGAGAATTTCCTCGGGAAAGCTGTTATGGAAATGGGAATTTCCCATTTTAGACTCTTATGGGTTCTGTATCATGTGATTTATATAGTAATATAGTTTAGAAAAATCAATTACAACCAAAAAATCTGCTGTGCTAACATCTGTTAAACTTCATGTTACAACATCTGTGCTAACATCTGTAAACTCTAATGAACCACCTCCCCTCCCCTTTCCCTTTCCCTGTGCCTCGAATGGACGAAAATGGGCGCCTCCGGCCCCATTTTTGTAACAAAGGCCATGATGCTTCCAGACATGTTCAAGGAAAAGTCAGGCGATTCCCGCTGAGTCCACCATCGTGACTGTGGGGATTGCATGGATGCGCTTGGAGAGGCGATCTACTACAACCAGGATGGCATTGTAACCTTTTGACTTGGGGAGCTCTCTGATCATATCTACAGAGATTACCTGCCAGTGGCAGGTGGGGATCTTGTTCAGCATGAGTTTCCCCACCTTCCGTGAAGGGAACGATTTGACCTGGTTGCAGGCGTCGCACCCTGCTACGTAGCAGCCCATGTACTCTGCCATCTGGGGCCACCAGTAGTCATGGGAGACGAGTTCCAAGGTTTTCCATCGCCCTGGGTGCCCCGTCACCCACGTGTTATGGTGTAGCCACACCAGGTCGTGGTGGAGTTGCATGTCTTTTGGGATGTACACCTTTCCTTGGTAGAGGACCAGTTCTCCATCTTTGCTCAATTCATCTGACCTGAGTGTCCCATCTCCTAATTCCTTCAGTGCCTTCACCACTTTCTCGTCGTGGTCCTTTGCCACGCATATCCTCTCCAGGATGGTCATCTCTTCTCCCTCCACTGTGATGGCCTCAGTCATGCAGGCTTCGAACCACTCTGGCTGCAAGAGGGTCAAGCTTTCGTTGTCGTCCTTCCCTTTCAGGTGGTTGGTGCGGCGTGAGAGGGCGTCCAGTTTCCCCATGAGCTTCCCTGGGCGGTGGATGAGGGTGAAGTGGAAATGGGATAGGAAGAGTGACCATCGTGCTTGGTGGCGATTCAGCCGCTGCGCAGTGTGGAACTAGCCCAAGTTACGGTGGTCAGTGTAGATATCGACCTTTTCTTCCGCTCCTTCTATGAAGTGATGCCACTCTTCTAGCGCTCGGACTATCGCGAGCATTTCCTTATTGTAGATTTCATAGTTTCGTTCTACCTCAGTGAAGCTTTTGGACATGAAGGCTATGGGGTGGAATTCGCCATCGGCTTGGAGCTGGGACAGGACGGCACTGGTGGCGAAGTTGGAGGCATCGCACTCGAGTTTGTAGTGGCCGCTGTCAGCGGGGAAGGCGAGGATGGGGGCAGAGGTGATGTCATATCCATCCCCGGCCATCGACTTCCGGTCCCTCCGATCCCTCCGATCCAACTCCGCTCCTCCCTCACTAACCTCGGAGCCCCCGTATCCCGCAATCCTCTCGGCGTCCCTCGATGGTCACCACCCCCTCATTTCAATTTATTACCTACGCCTCCCTAAGTACGGAGCCCCGAAGACTTCCGGACAGCTCCGACGTCTGCTAGCGCACCCCCGCCTCCGCTGGGCAATACACTCGCCTGCCCTGCAGAGCCCACCTTCGGGCCTATCCCTCCTTTCCGTTTCTGGGTTAACGCCTGCCTTTCCGCTAACCCTGCGAACCGACTCGTCGGTAATATTCAGTCGGCTAATGCTTAAACCCTGTTAGCTCCGCTCCGTTCGGCTCCGCCAATTGCGGACCCGTCCCCGCTGTAACCATATATATATCCCACTTGTACATAGGTTACGCCCCAGTAGAAAAATCAACTAGAGTTACCCCCTAGGTTCTAATTGCCAGTCAGTAAGTTAGGGCACGGACGTGTCACTAGGCACAGCGCTCTTGGAAGTCGCTGAGGCCGAAGCCCTCCATTATGGAGACATTCCTTCGTCTCGACCCTGGTCTCTGACAGGTGACAGCTTTCTTAACCGCGTTGAAGGCGTTTTCTTCACTCTCCCCCCATTCCCAGACCTTCGCTTTGCGGGTTAGCACATGGAGCGGGCATGCTGTCTTGGAGAAGTCTTTGATGAAGCGGTGATAGGAGTTTACAAAGCCTAAGAAGGACTGCACTTCTTTCACCTTCAT